TCCAACTTGTGTTAGTTATCATAAATGATCTGCTCTTATAAGTTTTTATATCGAGAATTTCTATGCCAATTTTGTTTTCTAAAATATCAATATGCGTGGTTTTCATCTTCAGTAGCTCATCACTGCGACATGCCCCAGACACGCCTCCTATAAGCGCAACCTAAAACAATGAAAAGAAAGATTTAAAAACAGAAAAAGAAAACATTTAAAAAAAGCCTTACTTTAATAGGAAGGAATTCTTGAGGTGCTTTCGTGAGAAAATCCTCCAATTTTTGCCTGATAAAAATCCTAGACTTCTTTGGCTTAAAACCTACATTCTGGCGATTTAAAAAAGCGACGAGTTTGTGATGTTTTGATATGTCAGTCTTTTCCCTTAATTCTAGCATTGTCCGTATCATGCTGTACGTAGCCCACAGAGTAGATGGCTTTTTCTGCCTTGCTATGTCGCTAAAATATGCTATCAAGACTGTCTCCGAAGCAATATTCTTAGCATTTCTTTCGGCACACCATTTTTCGTATACTTTCAATGCTATTTCATATCGCGCGGTCCCCTACTTTTCTTTGGAAGTCAACTGGCTTCTGCTCTTTTTGCAGCTTCTGTAAGTTCTGGTGGAGTACCAATATTAAAGTAGTCTTCATTATCAGAACTTTCCGACAACATTCTGGCTTTCTATGTTATATAAATTCGAAAAAGCGAACGAGAAATTCAAAACTGTCTCTTAGTTGTTTGTTTTGCTGTTGAAGGTTTGCGCTATAACAACCACTGGTACCGGTAACTATAGATATGGAAATGCCAAAACAGAAAACGACAAATTTTCGCATACCGTGAAATGGGGTGACTTTGCCAAATTCCGTCCGAAAATATGTTAGACGTAACCGTAGCCACTACTTGAAAAGAACGCGTTATGTGTTATCGGTAAATTATGGGTGGAGGCGTCCCACGTCTCGGAACGTCGCTAAACGCTTGCCGTCAGTTGCGATGTAGCATTTACTGTGATGCTAGTGAAGCCAAATCTGTTTTTAAAGCCTATTTTGTGCGTTTCAAACTTCGACGTGGCTGCAATAGTTAACCACGCTGTATTGAGGTAAGTATTATGCAGAAGTTCGTTATAATATTGAGGGTGATGAAGTATATTTTACGTAATTATGCTTTTAAATGGGGTGGCTTTGGCCTATCAATAAGAATAAGGAGGAGGGCAAAGACACCCCATATAAGCAACTAACTTTGCCCATCCAGTTTTTTACTTTTTTTATATATACAGGGTGTTTCAAAACAAATGCGAAAAACTTCAGGGGGTGATTCCTTGTTAAAAATAAAGGGTAGTTTGCTTTATAAACGTTGGGTCAAAAGTCAATCATTAGGGAGATATCGCAGTACATAGATGGCGGAAAAACAATGTTTTTATTTTTTATATTGAAAACGAAAAGAGATAGACTAATGAAATTTTATGGAAGCATTACTGTTATGAAAACACACTTTCTGGTAAATTTTTCACTTTTTTAAAATGAGTGGAAGGGGTTGAAATAAACTACCCCTATCATTCTTGTTAACGAAATTTAAACAAAAATCGTATCAAACACATGCAAAAAAGTTAATTTGGATAGTTCAATTTATTTAGCAACTTTTTTATCTCTTGTGTTTTTTTGATAAAAGTCACCGATTTGAAATTAAAAAATAAAATGTAAAGCATTACCATGTCAGGACAAAAAACATTTTTAGATAAAGAATCTAGTAGGTTAGGTTAGGTCAGGTTGTCACTTTTTAGGATGTTTCTAATATTATTTTATTTGACATTACTCTACTGCAATACGTTATTATCTTACGATCAATTAATTATTCCGAAGCCTTTTTTATTTATCTAAAAATGTTTTCTGCCCTGACATGTAATGCTTTACATTTTATTTTTTAATTTCAAATCGGTGACTTTTATCAAAAAAACACAAGAGATAAAAAAGTTTCTAAATAAACTAAACTATCCAAATTAATTTTCTTGCATGTGTTTGATAATATTTTTCTTTAAATTTCGTTAACAAGAATGATAGGGGTAGTTTATTTCAACCCCTTTCACTCATTTTAAAAAAGTAAAAAAATTAACAGAAAGTGTGTTTTCATAACAGTAATGCTTCCATAAAATTTCATTAGTTTATCGTTTTTCGTTTTCAAGATAAAAATTAAAAACATTATTTTTCCGCCATCTTTGTACCGCGATATCTCCCTAATGGTTGACTTTTGACCCAACGTTTATAAAGCAAACTACCCTTTATTTTTAACAAGGAATCACCCCTGAAGTTTTTCGCATTTGTTTTGAAACACCCTGTATATATATATATTTGTTTAATAAACAAAAAAGCGTATTATTGTTGTGTTGTCCTTATTACCACTTATAGCATAGACCATGCGCATTTGAGAAAATACAACAATTTTTGAAATAAACACGATTTAAAATTCAGAATTGGGCAAAGTCACCCCACTTCACGGTATTTATTTTTTTCAAAATAAAATACTGTCTCTATTTTTTACTTAATGATGTGGTTGTAAATAAAATATTATACAAACCTCGGAGTAAAGTTTTCATTATTGCCTCGAGATTTAGTTAATCTCTCAACAGTAAAAGAGACATAAAAAAAATTACGTCGCAAAAATTAATACTTTTGTGACGTTTGAAAAAAAAATTTTATGAACAGTACAAATGTTTTTAAAAAAGTTTTAATGTTTTTTTTCGTTTTATCTCAACTCCACTTTTAAGAAATGTTTAGAGACACTTAGTAAAATGTTAAATTATGTATTGAATGTATTTTATTTGTAGAAATATTTATTATTGTTGAGCTATTATAAACTTTATATGTATTAACGATTGTATATCGTAGGGAATTTATTGAATACTATTATGATTTGATTAGTTAATCACAAAACTGTTTCACAAAACCATATATTATGATAACTGTTCATTGAATCCACCAAATCGGATCATAATAGTCGGAACTTGCGTGCATATTTTCTGCGTTATATTTTATATTAAAATCTTCTATAACAAAATATATTTTCTATTTCCAATTTTTTAATCAAAGTCATGTTTTTGTAAGGCTGGACTAGTTTTTAATCAAAAGATACCGAATATAATTATATATGCCAATGTAGATATATTTACATTAAACTTATTAGCTGTTTTATATTATTGATTTAAACGAATGTTTATAGCAGATAACACTGATTTTTTAAACTAAAAATACAGGAATTCGTATTTCGAATTTTTCTTTATCAATAAGGGATTTTTTATTACGTTTAAGAAAAAATTCTTGTATTTTAAAGTTAAAAAAATAACCAAGAACTTTTCAAAAAATTTGTATAAAGAACTATGTCAGTATGTGAATGGGCAAACCATTATTTTTTATATTTTGATAAATGAAGGGTAAGGGGAAAAACCGACGATGTCACACACAAAACTGGCTTACAGAGAAAACTGATTTAATGTTGCCAAATACCATGTTAAAGATACAAAAAGATATTACTGTATGCGTTACTATTTGGACGACATTGTTTGTTATTTTCAGTTACAATTTAGCAAGTGTATAGGACTTGGTATTCGCAACACCAGATTAAGTTGGTTGCTTAAAAATTCCTATAAAAATGGACATCGTCGGATGTTACCCCTAACACTTGCAATAATATTTATTTATGTCTTTCAAAATATATATTGTCTCCTAATCCTTCTAAGATCAAAACATGGTAATTCTGTAAACTCTTTATACTCAAATAAAAAAATAAGTTAATCTACGAAGTTTTATTTAATTACATATGCATTGTTTATTTTTCTTTATGTGCCAAGTTACAATTAAGATAGATAAATTTAAATCAATAAATAAATCCTCTAAAATACAATTTTTTATATCAAAAGTCCCTAGGTTATACAGGGTGAGTCTTAAATAAGAGCAAATATTTTCAGGGCTGGTAGATCTCGAGAAAAGTAACATATTTTTTCTTTAAATTTTTCGTTTTTCAAATAAGTCCAAAATAACCGAGATATTTTACTTTTAAAATTAAAAAATATATATTTTTCGTTTAAATTTTGACAACCACGGGATCTTTTCTGGGTTTTCTTTCTTGTAAATTTAATCTACTACCTATGTTGCCATATCACGAAGATATTATGTTTGTTAAATAAAAATTAAGAATTTTTTCAAAATCTTTTCAAAAAATTCCAAATTTTGAAAAAACATTTTTCGCGAAAAAAAAACTCATAACCGTGTTTCTGGGGTCAAAATATACTACCGCTAAAATACTGGCACTCATTTAAGACTGACCCTGTAGATTCTAGGAGTCCATGCAATTCCATTATTTAAATTTATCTAGCGTATAAGCGTTTAAACAATTAAAATAAATTTTCATGACTAGGTATAAAAATACTCACCAACCAAACAATAACACCTACTGTTTTTAAAAAATTATTTCATAAAGGTCACTAGTGTTTTCATTTTTTTTACTATTCAATTATTTATGAAATTAAAAGTTATTCTAAATAATTTTTAAAAGTTACAAAAACATGCGAAATATATTTTCTTTATTTTTTATCGAAAAAATTACAAACATCTTATAACTATACATTATAACTATAACTGATATCAGCAAAAACATGAGAGAATTATAACTTAACTCTATAGTGCCTGTGTATAGTTATGTTCAGTAAACCTGAGCAGCATTAGACAATGGGCAAGGCTAACGTTCTCTAAGTCATTCATAAAAAATAACAGTTAGGTATAATACGATAGTACGGGTACTGATGTTACATTTAACTGTATATGTTTCTCACAAGTTACACCTATAATGTGAAGAATAAATTCTGGTATTTTATAAATTTTTCCATGTCCATATTCCCATTTAAAATGAAATCTACTTTTTAGGGTTCTGTACCTCAAAAGGAAAAACGGAACCCTTATAAGATAATTTTGTTCGTCCATTTGTCTGTCCAGACCCTTTATCTCGGGAACAAGTGGATGTATCGAGATGATATTAAAACCATATATTTTCAGGTCTACAGTCTGTCGAAGCTGTGAAAAAAATCAGACGTCTAAGGCTAAGAACATAGTGGAGCGACGAGGATAGCGGCGAGCAAGCAGCGCAATACCGTGTCGAGCAAGCCTCGAGGTGCTAAAACATAGTAGAGCGGCGAGGAATAGCGAGATACTTGTGCAAATTTATTGTTTTCATTTGCTTATTGATAGTTTAAGATGTTAACAGTGGCTAAAATTGTGGGCAGTAGTGTCGCAAACATTTGGTTAGATGAAATTTTCAAAAACCCGAGAAAGTACAGCAAGTTTTAAAACCTTTACGAAAATTTGTTGCCACTTCATCTCATAACTTATCTAAAAGGTACCGATTATGGTGATTACTATCTTTCCGATCCCATAAAATCTCTCTTACAAATACTAAATCTATTAATTTTTGAGAATCTATCATTTTCTACAGCGCGACAGAGCGACGAAAACAAAATTATTTGAATCGATCTCGCCGATCGATCTAACCGCTTGAGCAGATCGCTTTACTACGAGTATGTTCGCACGTACTTATCTTCACAGGTTTATTTTGGACGCGATGTCGCGCTGCTTGCTCGCCGCTAGCCTCGTCGCTTCAATATGTTCTTAGCCTAAGTTAACGTAAAAAAAATGGCGCCGGGAGGCACGTATAGCCGCCCATACTAAAATATGTTAATATCTCAAAAACTGCGACTTTGATTTTGACGTTATTACAAATTTTGTTGCAAATATTATTCCTAATCTTAATTTGAAAACCGCGTTTCGCTAGCTACTGTAATTTTGGAGTTACGATTTTTTAAAATGTTTAGCCCCCTCCCATACGCCCTCACCAACCCCCCACCCCCACCAAAAACTAATGGCCAGATTCTCGGGTGCCACAGTATTTTTGTGCCAAATTTGGTTAAAATCGGTTCAGCGATTTTTGAGTTATCGTGTTACAGACGGACAGACAGCAAGACACCATGAAAATATTTTGTATTTAGGTCATTTATGACCCAAATAACTCATTTTGAGTGAAATTAAAAACACTTTTTTTTGCCGATCTTAATAGCCTACCATACCCAAGAACAGTTAACCTAATAGGACTGCTCATTCAACCAAAAGTGTCCGCCAGGTGCATGCGAAAACTACTCGCTTTGTGACGTCATTGTAGCCCTTGTCATGGTTATTAGTCCTTATCCGGCAACCAATAATACACACACGTGCATTATTGGTTACCGAATGCAAAACGTTCATTATTTAGTTTATTTATTTAAACACCTTATATGTATGCAGTATAGAAAATTAACTGAAAAAATCGTATTAAATACTCGGATAATGCATTTTTAAGAACAGCAGTTCCCAGCATCACCTTTTGCAAGCATTCTTTTTAGAGTACTTCCATATTTTGCTTTAAAATAATTAATAAACAAAATCGTGGGCACTGAGTATGCACTTTGTCACAATCCACAACACAAAATGAACGTATTTATACACTCTATAGCTCTAAAAACTTTAAAGACACCTTTTTCACATTTAAAATTGACAAAATAATTAACTCAAAATTTCTCAGCTGTTATTTTTATAAGTTTACCATAGGCAACTAATAATACACACTATCATGACAAGGCCACGAAGGCTTTGACAAGGGCTACAATGACGTCACAACTGTCAGCTGAAGCGCGGGAAGAGGCGAACGTACGTCTTATGAGGATGAGCAATCCTATTAGTTTACCGTTCTTGTACCATACCTATTGGTATGGTCGGCTAAAAAAGAAACGGCCTTGTATGCCACATAAAAGTATATTTCGACACTCTCAAGGCACAGCTACAATATCTAGCTACGCACTCAAGGGAATCAAAATTTATAGGATATATGCTGTTGACCTAGAACACACCATTTGGTAAGTGATAAATAAGTATAAAGAAATCTAAAAACTATACATTTGTATTTAGATCATAAAAAATATAGGGTGTCCTAGAAATAAGTGCAAGTATTTTAACTGGTAGTATAGTTCAACCCTAGAAACACGTCTATGAGTTTTTTTTCCAAATAAAAAATGTTGAAAATTTTATATGTTTCTTAAAATTTTCCGAAAAATTTTGAATAACTTTTGAGTGCCACTGTTCACTCTCCGGAAATTCGTTTACCGTACCAAAACCGTACATAGAGAGAATCTCGGAGAGAGTGCAATGTTGCCACTTCCAACCATACCCACATTTTCGCGAAAAAAAAACTTTGAAAATTCGAAATTTTTTAAAAAATATTTTGAATTTGTTTTTACTTTTTATTTAAAAAACATAATTTCTTGATAATATGGCAACATAGGTATTAGATTAAATTTACAAGAAAGAAAATCCTGAAAAGATGAAGTGGTTCTCAAAATATTAGCAACGAAAGATTTTAATGTTAAATTTAGGCAAAGTTTACTGAATAAAATATAAGTTACGTCACTTGTGCCGGCGGCAGGTATCAAAAGCCGCTTCACGCACGTGTTTCCCAGTGTATTACTGGTGTGTGGACTTTGGACCCAGCATACACGGCGGATCACGTTCGGCGTATTACTCTGATTTTGGCGTTATTACAGAGTGGTCTCGCATGCATATGGAATTATTTTTCAAGTGGTTATTTAATTTTCATTGCAAAGTGTTACTGATCACATTAGCCTTAGCTAATTATTTATTAGTTTATTATAAAAAAGCATAATTATTTTTATTATTTCTTAAAAATAATATTGAGTTTTTCGCCACTGGAAAAAAAATTATTTAAAATATCTAATTAGAATTATTCAAGAACACTTTATTTTTTACACGAAAAATCATATACTGGGTGTGTCTCAAAAGTGGCTTATCCCCTATAACTTTTTTATTTTTTCAGATAAAAAAACGAGATTTGGTGTGTTATTAGTATATGACCTAAATTAGGATTGATTAACATTTTCAATTTTTTTCGGTCACTTCCGGTTTCACCGAAAATGACTACAACTTTGATTTTTAAACGGCAACCTCGGCATTTTTCTACTTTATTCCATAAAAAATGACACTCTGAATAGAATGACATATCATATGTCAACTTTTGGCATTCTAGCTTAAAAAAAATCTTTTAAAATTTCAATATTGAGTGCCATAGCTCTTTTAAAAACAAAACTTTAATCGAGGAGTCCTGGGAAAAATAGATTTGATCGTCTAATGTTTTCCATGTCTTGTCTTGGCCGGATGGTATTTTTAAATGGCCAAATGGTAATTTTAACCATATCTTAATTTTTTTCAAATGGAAAGAGTGTGGCTCATTAGTATATTTGGAAAAAGTATTTTTTTACGAATAATTTCATGCCACACACTTGGTATTTCGAGTCAAATTGTCGTTATAAACCGCATGTTACACTTTCAAATAAATCATATGTGAAACTGTTAAAAGCTGACATATGATATGTCTTTCTACTCAGAGTATCATTTTCTATCGAATAACGTAAAAAATACCGAGGATACCATTTAAACATCAAAATTTGTTGACATTTAATAGTATCAGCTTTGAATTTTATAGTGTACGTAATTCGTGTTGGAAAACCATATTACGCACTCATGGAATACTGCACTCGTGCGTAATATTATTTTTTCCAAAACACTCGTTACATAATATACTTTTACATTATTTACTGTTGATATTGTGTAGCTTTATTTTTTGTGTTTGTTTTTAAAATTTATTTTATTTTTGCTATATCTTTTTTTATCTTGCCATGTCTAAATATTTATATGTAATACACCAATAAATTGATAGTATATTTTTTCTTTTGTAGATTTACCATTAGGTATTTTTGAAATACCCCACGTTCCCCTGCACCTTGTCGCACATTGCGATCGGTAAAAATTCGGCTTCTATTTACCCCGGCTTCCACTCCTGTTTTCATCGAAATCCGCCGTATCGGACAAGGCGGCTTCTGGCTTTTGATACGCGATTTTCAAAGTGCCGATGCTAAGTGACCGAACTTATATTATATTCTGTAAACTTTGATTTAGGTGTCCGATAAACTCGTATATAATTTTACTTTAAGTCCAGTAGTCGGACGAGTGTCCGACTAAGAAAATTTAATCAATTTAAACTCATCTTTTTCTAAACTGTCCGACCACTGGCATATCTTCGTATTTTTAGTATTTAAAAAAAAGGAACATAGGGACCCGCACTAAGTTCGAATAGCCAGTACCACTACAGGTACCATATTATGACGTATCCTTGGCCAAGTTGCAAAGGTAGTAGAGAGGTTCTTGTAAGTAGGTAGATAAGCGTCATCTCGATCACATATTCCACCAATTTGGCCCAAATTGGGCAAAAATTTGGAACTAAGAACAAGAGGAAGGCTGAATTTTAGTGCTCTAGTCGGAAATATACATAAAAAAGTAAGTTCTTATTTATTTTATAAGTTTCTGCGCATTTAAGTGTAAAATTTAAAGAACAATGAGGTTATTTGATTATTGTATTAATATTAGTGAAAGTTGCGATATTCTGGTACATTGATAATTTGAATTAACTAATTAGTACTTGTTTTATCTTTGTTATGACTTATATAAGAAACTTTCATTTAAATAACTTGAATTATTATTTTTTATAATATAAATATATTTTATTTGCCTAAAGCTTTCGTTTCAACACTACCCACAAAAGTTGATTCATATAGGAAATCAGTGGTGTACATGAAAAAAATAACCTTGTATGATTATTTCCAAAATTATTGATTACATAATGCATTATTTTTAATATAATTACATTTACTTATAAGAAAATTAAGGAATATTTTTTTATTATTATTTATGTTGTTTCCCTTTTAACTGAATATAAATTTTAAAACTCAAAAATATTTTATAAATACGTATATGCAAAATTTGTATAATTATATTTTTTTTCTAGAACATGTTAAAATATATACAATGTATTTCTATCGAAGTCAAATAGAAAAATAGAACGGTAAAACGACAGCTGCTGTTGTAAAACTAAATAGCTAAAGTTTATTTATACAGAGTGTTCAAGTCATTTATTTGCACGCCGCATGTGTGTGCAAAATGTCTTTTTCTATTTCTCAAGTTTTTTTATTCCTCGAAAAAATCTGTACACGTTGTTAATTTCAATTCACTAAATAATCAAAATTTAAGTATTTCCTTTAATATACAAAGGAAAAAGTAGGTCTTTTTTTCCAAAACACATCAAAGAATAGTTTTTAGAATAGCTAACTCCCAGACAATGTGTTTTATAATTATATTTTTTCAAACGTCACAAAAGTATTAATTTTTGCGACCGTGATTGACAAAACAAAAAAAGTAATTTTAACGCCTAGGTATAAAAGTAAAGCACTTTTACGCCTAAGCATAAAAGTACGAAATTATATTATTAAACTGACATAAAGTGTCAAATTCAACGAGCGTAACCATAGTTTCTCGATATATAATTCCATACAAGCTATCGCTTTTCAATCTTTTTATATTATTTGGAACGTTTGAAATTGTTTAAAAGCTTATTTGGTGGCGTTTGAAAAAAAAATAGCATGTTCTATTCCGAGTGAAAATGATTTTTTTTGTCTCACCACAAAAATTGTCATTTTTACTCCTAATAAAACAATATAATATTATTTATAAATCTTTTTACTCAATTTTATATTTTTTTCAGAATGAACACATTTGCCATTTTGGCATTTTTTGCCGCCATTTTAGCTGTAGTTGTTGGTGTTAAAGACATGATGAGGAAAAGCATAGTGTTTGACAAAAACACACCTGATGTCTTCTACTGCCCAATTCACAAGCCCAGTGGAATGGATAAGCTAATTGTAAAGTATGTATATACAGGAAGATGTTATAAAAGTGTTTAGACTTTAAAGTTACTTCACAGATGCACTGGAGATTGTAAAGAGTCAACTGTATCTATTTTATATAGCAATTGTTGTCAAATTACTTATACTGGATGCGTCTCGCGATCATAATTATATTTCAAAAATTTAAATTTTAATTTAAATATATCGGGCGCGTCGCAAAGTGGCTCACCCCTATAACTTTTTTTATTTTTTCAGATAAAAAAAAATATTTGGTATGTTAGATATGACATAAATTAGGATTGATTGACGTATCAAACTGTTTCCTTTTGTTGATGTATTCAAGTTTCCTGTTTCGCCGGAAATGATTATAACTTTTGATTTTTAAATGGCACCCTCAGTATATTTCTACTTTATTCGACAGAACACTCTGAACAGAATGACATATTATATACAGGGTTGTTCACCACATACGACACGGAGTATTGTAGCTAAACGACTAGATTTTTACAAATTGTAAGTTTTGGGTTTGTTGAAGGACTATTAGAGCTACAATTTAAAAATATTTTTACAAGATACATAGTGTCCCAAATAAATAAAAAATATCAAAGTTGTATTTTTTTAAATGGAACACCCTATATATTATTACATTTTTAGTTTCTACGATTAAAATAAAGGTAAATTTGATTAAGGTTTATCACACTTAAACCTTACCGTTTTTGAAATATTTTCAATTTTATGAAATTGCAGTAAAAATTTTAAGGCTTCAATTCTCCAAGGGTATCAAAAGTTTTTAATACTAAATATTTACTGAAGATTATTTATTGATCAAATATTGTGTTGCAATAATAAAAATTTTACTACCTTATACAGAGTGTCCAAAAAATTATATTAAATAATTACTAGCTTTACACGGCAATAACTTGTTTAATTTAAATGGAACACCCTGTATATTTTACGTAAATCATATGCACAATTTAATTATCTATCAAATTGTATTATACCATTTTTACCTATCTCTTCAGGTTTTCGTAGAAAATGAATTTTCTTATAATTTAGAAATCATTTATCACTATACCCAAGGAATATTGACATTTCAGATTTTTTAAAGCAACATATATATGTACAAAATGTACAGGTGGTAAATACTGCAAGCCCAATGGTATAAAAAAACTATTTAAATCTTTGTAAAAGGGTATGCCAATTAAATATACCACCATTATTTCCGACCAAAAATTAGTTAATTACATACTTTTAAATTGTTTTAATTAATAAAGTATTCTAAATAAATGTGGATTTGGCTCAGAAATCAATATAATAAGTTATGAAAATAAACGTCTCTGTTTTTATAAATAAGCATTCGTCAAAAAATGAAATAAAATTTTTAAGATGTTACTTTTTACCACACTGTCTAATATACACACAAAATTCAGTTTTTTATTATCTGGAGCAATTATTATTAATCAACGTAAACAGTCAATTAATGTAATTTGAATATTGGGATCATATTAATTGTCCCTTATAACAAAAAATATTTAAACAGTTTTATTTTTTAATGAAATAAGTGGACTGTATCGACAATATTAGTATCTGTACTCATTGAAAATTTGGTACATCTTTAAAAATAATCTAAAATGTCAATATTCGATGGGTATAGTGATAAATGAGGTCTAAATTATAAGAAAATGCATTTTCTACGAAAACTTGAAGAGATGAGTAAAAAATGGTATAATACAATTTGATAGACAATTACATTGTGCATCTGATTCACGTAAAATATATAGGGTGTTCAATTTAAATTAAACAATTTATTGCCGTTTAAATCTAGTAATTATTTAATATAAATTTTTGGACACTCTGTATAAGGTAGAAAAAGTTTTATTATTGCAACACAATATCTGATTAATAAATAATCTTCAGTAAATATTTAGTATTAAAAACGTTGATACCTTTGAAGAAATGAAGCCTTAAAATTTTTACTGTAATTTCATAAAATTGAAAATATTTCAAAAACGGTAAGGATTAAGTGTGATAAACCTTAATCAAATTTACCTTTATTTTAATCGGTGAATCTAAAAATAGAATAATATACAGAGTGTTCCATTTAAAAAATACAACTATAATATTTTTTACTTACTTTGGACACTCTGTATCTTGTAAAAATATTTTTAAATTGTAGCTCTAATAGTCCCCTTCAACGAACCCAAAACTTAAAATTTGTAAAAATCTAATCCTTTAGCTACAATACCCCGTGTCGTATGTGGTGAACAACCCTGTATATAAACGTTTGGCATTTTCGCTTAAAAAAAATCGTATTTTAAATTTCAATCTAGAGTACCGAGGCTGTGTTAAAAACACTAATTTTTAATCAAGGAGCCATGGAAAAATAGATTTGATCGTCTAATGTTTTTATAGTGGCTTGTCCTGGCCGGTTAAAGATGCCCAAATCGTATTTTTAATCATATCTCAAATTTTTCAATTGGAACGGGGGTGACTCATATTTTCATATCTGAAAAAAAAAACATTTTTTACGGATAATTCTGTACCACACATTTGGTATTTCGAGTCAAATTGTCGTTATGAACCACATGTTACAATTTCAAATAAATCATATGCGAAAATGTCAAAAATTGACATATAATACGTCATTCTATTCAGAATGTCATTTTCTATCGAATAAAGTAGAAATATACCGAAGGTGCCATTTAAAAATCAAAAGTTGTAGTCATTTCCGGTAAAACAGAAAGTGACCAAAACAATTGAATACGTCAATCAATCTTGATTTATGTCATATACTAACGTACCAAATCCCGTTTTTTATTTTATCACTTTTGAGACGCACCCGGTCAAAAAATTTTCTTTATTAAATAAGAACAATCGAGAGAACAATCTTCGAATTCTCACGGGGTTTTTAACAGGACACTGTCTCCTCAATGAATACAGTATGTCTGTCCGTTCTGTAACTACGGGGTATCCGTGAGAGGGGAAACGATATTCTCTCGATGTTTTCGTAAAAAATTAGACGACGCGTCCCATCAATAAAAATTCGACAAATTTGCAAGTAGCCAATAAAATGAGTGGGCGATGGTGCCATTTAAAAATCAAAATTTGTAGTCATTTCCGGTGGAACATGAAGTGACCAAAAACAAGTGAATACGTCATTCAATCCTAATTTCCGTCACTAAAGTAACAAATCTCATTTTTTTAAATGAGAAAAATAAATAAGTTATAGGGGTGAGACTTTTGAGCCGCACCCGGTATACTTGAAATTTAAGTTAAAAAGGAAGTAGGATTTTTCATTTTTTCAATTTCAGAGCAAAACCTTTAAAGAAACTATGCGAATTTGAAGGCAATCCAATTCCTGAGGATTACAAGAGCGACTGTTATCAAGACGTAGACGAAAGTAGTTACGCTTGTAAAGAAAAGTATAGAATAATGGTAAGTCAATACAAGTACCATTCCAATTTGTAAAATACGAGTAACATTAATAACGCAATGTAAATTTTTGCTTCTTTACCTGTATCACCGAAAGCGAATTATATCTAACGTGTTTTAAAAATGTCTATGAAGTACCTTCAATTCTTGAAAAGAATTCCTTTTTTTGTATTCGCGACTAGAAGAAAATCTACAAAACAAAAAAATTGCAAAAAATAATTTTATTTATTTATTTCGCTTCTTCAAGTTCAAATTCTTCAAGTTCAAAATTCAAGTTTTTACCAAAACGTCTTATTTATCACTTCTTTATTTAGCAGATTTTCTTCTAGTGGCAAAAAAACATAATTCTTAAGAAGTAACGTATTTTATAGTTTACAATATTCATCAAATTAAACTGTATAACAATCGCACAGAAAATTTAATTCTGCCATTCAAAAATTAATTCAGTCTTTTTATTCAATAGTTAAAACAATGAGTAAAACTACAGTCACCAAGAAAAACGAGCACCTAAATTTTTTATGTATTTTAAAGTTTAATAAATTTTGTTCTAGTGGGCCGATTTTGATGATTTTTGAAGCAATATGTAGCTAAATTATTTGAGATTTTAGTTGTCTTTCTAAATTCAAAATGAAATTCCCATCTGCCAATTATAAGAGGCGAAACAAAATGTTGATATTTTGGTGAAAGTTTGAAACACCCTATGGAATATGTTAAAACAGCAAGTAATTTAAAAATCATTTTATCATCTAGGTATATCCTTTCTCGCTATTTTGTTTTTTGGTTCATCTCAATAGCTTTATTTTTTTGGAGATATTGGATTTCGAAGAAGACACTAACATTTTTTCGTAATTTGTAAAAAATATTAAAAAAAACTGTAGTACATTAAAACCATGCTTTTGCCTTTTAGTCCTAGTCAATAGTCCTAGTAAGTGTTAAGACCTAGTAAGGTGTAATTCATTATAAATTTGAGCTGGCAAATGGCGCAGGCAGTTTCTTAGCGATAAATTTACAATAAGTCGATCGTCTCGATTCGAAATTTTCATACAAAAGTTCCTGGACGACTGGCATATGAACTTGTCTCGAAGAAGCGACTGCACTGTATTTCGTGTTCGCCTAAATCTGTTAGCGACATAATTTTGATCTCATCTTCAATTAAAGCAACTATAGCAGATACAACTTCTGGACTTAAAACCATCTATGCTAGAATAACTGCCCAATAGCCAACAAATAATAATAATATGGTTTATCAATAATAATGACATTACATAAATCATAATAGTATCTGTGATAGTATATTGTTTTATTAGGAGTAAAAATGACACTTTTTGTGGCGGGATTATACTTTTCTAGCTAGGTATATTCTTTGGATTATACGTTGATATACAGTCGAGGCACAAAAAGTCATGTTTACTCCAAATAGAACATGTTATTTTTTTCAAACCCCACAAATAATTTTTAAACTATTTCAAACGTTCCAAATAATATAAAAACATTTACAAGTAATACCTTCTAAGGGTGTATTCCGTTGCTTACCTTGGTTATGGTTTTATGTTCCGTTTCTATCGGTTTCCTGAAAGTTTTTTTATTACGGAACACGGTTCCTAAAAAATTCGGTTATAACTGTCACTAAACTAATCAGCGCGAGAAGGCTGGGTTTTCTGGTTTTTTTTTGTCAATCAGTGTCATTTATGTCACAGAAATCAAGTGAATATTTGAAGTTCGAGTGAAATTCTCATTTAATTTCTAAAATTTGTAATAATATTTTGTATTTACATCCAAAGGTAAATAAATTTCATTAACTATATAAATAGAATGACTTTTTAGGGCCATTTAAACTTATCATGCACCCATTGTTTCTTAAAGTCAGGAACATTTAAAGAAAACATGAAAAATAAGACAACAAGTAAGCGTGAATGTTTTGTAAGCTATAAAAATATAAATATTGATTAGATTTGTTTATTTATTATTGATCTGTTTTAATATTGGACCTGCAAATCGTCAAATCGTAGAGCTGTCTAACGAGTTTAACAGTTTATTAATAAAGTAATTTTCAGTATTAAACTCCATTGAAAAGAAGAAGCAAACGTAAAAGCAGAAAATAGGTACATTAAAAATGCATAAAAGATAAATTTTATAATAGAGCTATTGAAATTTAGAAAACGTCAACATTTGACTTTCCAATATTTTCCAGGTTTCCAAACCGTTCCGTATCAAACCGATGTTTTTCAGGAACCGCTCTTTACCGTAGTTTACCGGTCTGGTTCGCCTGGTTTTGCAACGGAATACAGCCTAGTAATTATATGTCGAGAAACTATGGTTACGCTCGTTGAATCTGACACTTTACGTCAGTTTAATAATATATTTTGTGTATATTTTCGTACTTTTATGTTTAGGCGTAAAAGTGCTTTAATTTTATCACAAAACATCCCCCTTTAGAACTTCGTCTGTCATGTTAAGAAATGAAAGTAAATAATAAAGCGCCTCTCTTGTTTGTTCGTACTCAAAAAATTTCAATTAATGCCTGTATATATTTTTAATATATTTTTTAAATTTACATTTTTTAAGTGTAAAGTAATATATTACATTTAAATGGAATATATTACATAACAATTATGTCAATTACAGGATTACAAGCTTGTTTTCTAACATTTTTTAAATAAAACGAATTTTAAAATTTCAATATATTATATGTATATTTGTCGTAGGTATGGAAAAAGTAAAATATAAAATGAAAAAACGCTTACTTACATTGCAATAAAATTTCCACTTTTAGTTTTGCAATCCAAACGCAATATTTCTATTTCACAAATAAAAATATCCGACAACACTAAAATCACTGAAACTTCCGTGGCTGACAACGAAAACTGAAAAATATAACGGCACTTTTTGTTTTGGACCTGCATATCAACATTACGCTGTACTATTATGTGTTTGTTGTTGAAATAATATAAAATATCTAATTATAACTTGTAAATTTTAATATTTTAACATGATTTTAACTTTTTGTTATCAAGATGACATTTTAGACGGCAACTGACATATATGTCATAATATTTGAATCTTAAATATGTATGTAATATAATTTAAATTACTATAATGCAACTTTATACTAAGAAAACATTTATACATTCACAAAATACAACAAAGTCTAATAATATAGTTTGAAAACAATGAATATTGAGTTAAAATTGAAAAAGTTAAACGCGACCCCTTGTGTCAAAATTAAATGATTAAATTTTCGCAATTTTTACACCATTTGATGACCGGTGGCGCCTCTAGTGTTTGTTCGGGCGGTTGGGCTTTTACTCCCGCTTATGGCCATTAAAGAAACAGTTCTAAAGGGGGATGTTTTGTGATTTTTATGCCTAGGCGTTAAAATGTAAGTCGCGTCTTTATATTGTCAACGCGTCGTAAAAATTAAAATTTTTGTGACGTTTAAAAAAAAACACTATTTCATAGGTTTGTTGACAGGGACCAAAAGTAACGGCATGGTTTTAATGTAAATATTACACAAAAATGTTTCTTCTTCAGAAGCGATCTCCAAATAAAAACTATTAAGACGAACCAAAAAATAAACTATCGAGAAAAGAGGCACCTAGATGATAAAATGATTTTCAAATTCGTTACTTTTTTAATATATTCCACCGGGTGTTCCAAACTTTCACAAAAATAACATTTTGTGTTCCCTGCATAATTGACAGATGGAAACTTTCATTTTTAATTTAAAAAGAGATACTAAAGTCTCAAATAATTTAGCTACAAATTGCTTAAAAGATCATCAAAATTGAGTCTATAACAGTCACAATGAGGAATATCAATAATAAAACCATATAAGTAAATAGGAATAAAACATCTTCCGTGGGTATAGCAAACTTGAAATCAGATAATGATGCAATAGTTTGTTATTAATAGACAAAAGATTAAGCTGTGACTCGATGCTAATCGAAGACTTTTTTGCAGAAACGGCTTAAAAAAGCTTCAGCGGAGGACTAACCTGTCGGATCCGGCGACAACTAATCTGATAATGAAAGAAACTTATCCCTAATTCCTCATTATCCGCTTCCATCTAATACCAGTACTGTAGTTGTTTAAGGAAACGGTTTTTCCATTAGTTTTGGTTACCCTAGAACTTAGGTCCCGCTTTCCTTTTCGAACTGTTTCGACAAAAGTTTTAATTGAAAACGCGCCCAGAATTTTCCATTTAGCCAGTAAGAAGACGAAGTTTTTCGTCTGCAGACGAAAAAAGTTTATGTACTTATAGGAATTCATCAGAACATTTATTTATATTTTTTCATTTGTCCAAGTCAATGATGATTTCTATAGACAAACGATTTTATTTACAGAAATTAAAAATTTGACCGCTTTTTTGAAAATATTGAGTAGATATTGCAGTGTCTAAACGCTCCAATTTATATTTTTGAGAAATAAGCCGTTTTTTCAATTAAAACTGAATCTCGAAAATGTTCGAAAATTATTTATTTATTGGTTACCGGGTTATTTTTGTAAAATACAAACGGGTGGGTGATTTTTTAGTAATATATTAATAACTAACCCCCCTTTTGTTTGGTTTATGTAGATATAGTTTATTTAAGTACTAAATTATTGCTATATTAAAATATTAACCATAGCTTAAATATATAATATACATTTAAGTTATTTTTTAATAAACAGATTTTTAAAACACTTCTTATATTACTTCTTTTTTATTATATCAAATATACCTAGTTGTTTGATAGATACAAAAGATATAATTTATATAAAATATAATGAAAACATAGATGTCTTTAGTTCTTTTTACTCTTCCAGTTCTTTCTTTCTTTGATTTCTTAATTACAAGTAGAATATAATAGTATTTTAGAAAATCCTATATTGAAACCAATTTTTTACCTATACAAACCTATTATATCAGATTGATTTCAAAAAGTTGTCTTCATAAAAATTATGGTAGGTATATTTTTATATTCTTATTCATATAGAAGGGCTGTTTCATTGTTATCATCAAATCATTGCCCGTTTATTAAATGGTCAATATCAGTCGTTTAGATCTGAAATTTTGACATCTTTAGAATACAAATATATAATTTTTAATATTTTCAACATCAGCACATCTGTAATGTCCATGGGCATTATGATCTAAATTCTAGGACGTAATGATCTATAATACCCTTCAACAAAAGGTCTAGATAACAACTTCGTTCTTAACAACATCTTGACAACACAAAGCACAGATTATTATGCCCATTAAACAATAATTAATATGCTCATTAACGGTAATCCGTGTGCTTACCGGAATCACGTAAGGTAAGGGGAAAAACAAACGATGTGACAAAACCTGACTTTTACAGAGAAAACTAATTTAATGCTGCCAAATATCATGTTGAAGAAAGAAAAAAAATATTACTGTATGCGTTATTATTTGGTTCATCATCATCATCATCATCATCATCATTTCCAATTATGGTGTAGCCTCCCTCACAGATTGACATACTCTCTTTGTAATTGGACCCATTGTTGTCGAGTGTGGGGATCTCTCTCATGCGAGATGGCCTACCCATTAAAAACCCATCTGTGCTCTAAACTCGCCAATCTCAGTACCGCCGAAGGCATTTCATCAAGATTAGAGACTTATCATACTTCTATGTTGGTCTTGTCTGTACCCAGATCTTGTCTTTTTCGTCCTTCGCCTTTTTCTTCATAATGTTCCTTAACATGCCGCAAATCGCTTCGATATTTTCATTCGATGATGTTAGAAGGTTTCCGACGTTTACTCTAGTATTCTTCGTACCACACACTGTTTCTGCGTTTTCCCGTAATGGTCTTTCTTGGTTATTCCCAGCATATTTAGTTCTAATGAGCGTTGTGCGATCTGTAGTTTCCTTATAATATCCGCTAAGTATCTAGGTCTCGTATGCATAGGTGTAGTACAGATTGATCCAATGTTTGTTTTTTTTTTTAGATAAAGTGGCCTTCTTAAATCTGAGATGTACTGTACTAGAGATCCCGAGCTGTGTATTAGTTGTCCCAAATAGTCTTCAACTATTTTCAGTGATGTGTTACTGAATGTCTTTTCTGTCGACTAGTTCATTGTACATTACTTTAGTTTTTCCTAAATTAATTTTGAAACCTACTTTAATGCTGGCTGTATTTAGTTCGTTTATTGATGCTTGTACTTCTTCAGGACTATTGCCAATTAAGACTATATCATCAGCGAATCTTAGATGGTTAATATATTCTCCATCTATTTTTAATCATTTGTTGGTCCAGTCCAGTTGACGGGAGATTTCTTCTAGTGTTGCTGTAAACAGCTTTGGGGATATCGCGTCTCCCTGACTGAACAATAATTTGGATATCGTTTGTTATATTCAATTACAATTTAGCATGTGTTTGGGACTTGATATTCTCACCTGATGATTACTTAAAAATTCCCATAGAATGGACATGGTTGTTTTCCCCCTACCCTTCAGATTCTTTAGACAGGCCACATCCACAAATGACAGAAAAAAATACCTAGAGTTTATATGCATACGTCCATCGTCGTTTTTATATAATTCGATTAGTTTATTTTTAAAAATGACAGACCATATTTTACGATTAGAGAGACAGAACGACGCATAACGGATGCATGTAATCCCACATAATTTTTTGTCACTGTCATATTATATTCTCTCGCTAGAAAAACCATAATGAAATACAGAAAATCAAAAAAAAAACGACTAAAATGTCTAAAACCTGTTATAGATGAGAATGAATCCCCCTGGAACCGAAGAACCGGTTATGAACGAAAAAGAAATGAAGCAAATGAAGCGATTGGCCAGATTTATAGACGTCGACAAGGAGTACTACGAAATGAAGATGGAGAAGAAAAAACCGTCGAAGCCAAAAAGACGATTGGCTAACAGATTAGGCTAGACAAAAAATAAATTAACTTGAAATTTAACATATCAAACATTTTGATTTGTCAAAAATAATAAAATGTTGAAGATGATAGTCTTCAGAAATTAATGAAACGACAAAATTAACAATGTGATATTAATAAATTTAATTATTAAACCAAATAATAACTTGCCAAATTTAAACGAAGTTACTAAAAAAGCGAGGGAAGGGTGATTTGTTTTCATTATATTGTTGTACCTACTATTTCTTTTTTCTCATGTAAATAATTTATTTACTTAAATACATAAACATATTAAATAAAACAACGGTTTTTGATTACGTAAAATTTACCTTAATCTTTCAAAGCAATCCAAAATAATTTTTTTATATAAATTTAAGACATCAGTATACTCAAATTAACTGATAGAAAATTTAATTGTAATTTGATCATTTATATTTCCATTATTTTTAAACAGCAAGCAGCTAAAATTTATTTGCTAAAACATAATTTCAAAATACAATAGGATAAAAAAAACGGCGTCAGCGATGACTATGAAATGAGGACCGCTGCCATTTAATATGTAAAAATATATGAGGAATGTCATCGATCTTTATTTCCAAGCCAACTGGACGCCGTTTTTTTTTTCGATCATACGGTATTTTAAACAGGGTTGTATACTGTCGCGTCCTCCACAGAACGTATTTGTATCAATTGTCTAGGATGTCTAGATATTTTTTTATTTGAGCCTAAAAAATACTCTCGTACAGAAATAATCCGTTTATTTTAAATGAAAGTTATAGAAAAACATCAATATACAAAAAAATAAAAATAGCACTTACAAATCAACACAAAAATCAGATAAAAAACTTAAGAGCATCGCAAATTTATCGTCTGTTTCGTTGCATTTTCTACAACTTAAATATTGTTTAATAAATCTTGAAAACTTTTCAAGTGTGTCCTGGAAAAAATAAATCATAATATTATAAAAATTATATGTTAAATGACATAAATTACCTCATCCCAATCTCTTTGATAAAAACTAGTGCATTGGAATTCTAAATCATTTTCTATGATTAATTCCTTGTCAACAAGATATGAAACTACTTTTGCATAAGTATCCCACGCGTTGCATTGTACTTTGGAGCTCTGAAGAATAGTTATGTTTTTCACACAAAAAAGATTCTTAAAAATAGTACTTGATCTTCCAAACTCGCATTTCCAAACCTTTAACATATTTTCCATGACGCCACTGTGCTTAAACATAGCAGAACAATGCGACACTAAAAAATGTTTTGTAAAAATATAGTCTATTATACAAGGTCCGGCAATAGTGCGTCGCACTGGGGATGTTCGGTCCTAAGATTTCAGTACCGGTCTCCGGAATGAACCACAAAGTACCGGTCCTACAACCGGTATAACGGTTCCAACAATTAGACCGGCTGGAGCGGAAGACCGGATAGACCGGAATATCGGAAAGGCCGAAATAACAGTTTTGTTTGTTGTGCCAGTGAGCATTATACCTCATGATATTGTATTAAAAAATGTAAATAGAAAGTTCTCGTGCCTTTAACGTTAAGTAAATACGGTAACGTAATAAATACGGTATTTTGGGGAATAAATTAGATTTCTCGGAATATATTGTAAATCTATTCGTTAAGATTCTCATTGTTTATGTTCACATTTCCGGCATATTCTTGATTTCTTGTCCAACATTCTGTTTACTTATGAAAAATGGAAAAAGTACTGGGAGCTTCTGTTCTTGGAGATTTAATGGATCGGAAATAAGATGCTATTTTACATATTTTAAATAATAGAGTAGACGCTACTGAATATCGGCCTGAGTTTTACGGACATTTTAATTTATATAATATACATGAGTAATCCATGAGTAAGATGGTTTACTTGAATTTTAGATGTACTAAAAAAATACTAGATTACTAGACCACACTAGACTAGCAATGTTTTAAACATACATCAAAATAAATTACATTGCATGTTCCTGACCATATATTATACCAAATGATCGAAAAAAAAACGGCGTCCAGTTGGCTTGGAAATGAACATCGATTACATTCCCCATATATTATTACATACAAAATGACATAGCCGTCGCTAACGCAGTTTTTTTTTGATCATACGGTACCTAAAGTAGGAGAACGCAATCAGCTTTGCCCAAAAACCGGTACCGAAATCGTTTTATACAGGATTTTTTAATTTTCATATTATCATGAATCTATTTTTCTGTACCGATTGAAACCGGTCTTCCGGTATCGATCGAAACCAGTCTTTCGGGACCGATTTAAACCGGTCTTACGGTACCGGTACCGAAACCAGTATACCGGTCTTGTAAAATACGATACCGATACCGGAATATTTCAAAAGTACCGGTACTAGTACCGGTATACCGGAAGACCAAACATGCCTACGTCGCACACACGGCAAAATGCTACCTTTACCTTGACAAAAATCCAGATTATTTTTTTTTTCGTATGTTTATTCACATATTGTTTTTCTTATTTCATTTGTAGGGCTATTCAACTAGAGTAGTGCAAGCGTTACCAAAAATTGATGCAGTTTGCACTTTTCGTGGAGCGCAAAAGAGTGTCATTTACACCCAGTACAGATATTTGATGTTTTTCCTACCGTAAAAAGTAAAAAGTAGAGATTTCAGTTAACGTCTCCTTTTTGCCGTGAGGGCTAATCTGGACGGGGCCTACTTTGTTTACGCGGAATCCGAACCGCGGTCCTCGGCCATATCACGGTCAACGGCCTTTTGTCAAAGCTAAACATACATTTTGCCGTGTGTGTGTCGGGCATCTGTAGCTTCTATAATAAAAAAGTTTGGAATTTTGTTCAGGTGCAAACCTAAAGTATGTATTAGGATGTATTTCAGGAAAATATTTTAACTTATACTGGGTGACTCAAAAAAGTGTGAGTGGATCAAGATGATTTTTTTTTAAATGGAACATCATGTATATTATTGGATTTTTGGCTTCATTTTTATCAATTTACATAATTCTAAGATATTATTAATATTCTAAGATATTAATATAGTTTTGATAGTTTCAAAGATATTATATAAATAATAAAATAAATAATTATATAAATAAATAAAAATATCGGCCTTTTTAAAAAAAAAATATTGACAATACAAGAAATGTCCTGAAATCAAAACTGTATTAGGTATTTACTGTAGTGGGTCTGTACTTACTTTGCTAAAAATATCGCAATCTTAAACCTTACAGGATGTTCAAAATTCTATGCCAAACTTTCTAAAACAAAATAGTTTCTCTTCGTTTTTTTAATGGAACACCCTGTATATCATTTCTTTGTTAGATGGAAAATTAAAAAATTAACACTTTTTATATTTAAAGTATTTCAAAATTTTTAACGGTTTTGCGAATATTTGGGGTATATATATTATATGATTATATTACATATATGGTGCCCGGTGGCGTAGAGGTACAGGCTCTCGTCTACCAATCTGAAGGTAGTGGGTTCGAATCCCACACCAGGCATTTCATCAGCCGACTATTTTTATTAAAATAAAAATAGTTTGGGTCGACTAGATCGACTCAGCCTTAAATGAGTACTTGGGATTCACAATCCTGAGGTAATAATAGGCGGTTGAAGCGTAGTGCTAGCCACATTACCTTCCTTGTATACCGAACGGCTCTAGTATGACAAGCTGTACCTTGCTACTCCCAAGGCGTTAAACGCTATACACGGGAGCTATTATTATTATTATTATTATATTACATATGGGGTTTTCAACAGTAATTTTTTATCAAAGCCACCCAATGATTTTTGTCTGGTATTTTACCATTGAAAGATTTAGGTTTGCACTTTCTTTTTTATTATAGGAGCTACAGATGCCCGACGCCCTATAGGAAGGTAAAATTATACAGGACTGTTTACAAATAGAACTCAACTAAACTATTTGTTTTTAATTCCAATACTTACCCAACAATAAACAAAGATCAAATAATGTATAGTGTATAATTTCTATCATCATATCATTTATGTCATTTCTCCTTGTTAAACTTATGTATATTTGATCTAACAAATTCAAAACCACATCCACTGTAATAGTTTCATATTCAATAACTTCACAACATGCTTCCTACAATTAGAAAAACTACTCTATAATTTAATATATGATTTATGTACAAACAGATTTATTAAAATGTATCATCACAATTAACTTGATGATATTACTTAAAAAATTGAATGTGTAATACTTAAAAAAATCTCAGTTATAATTATCAATCATTTTAATTTTATTAAATAAGTTTTATAAAAAAATCCATTGTATTGGACTTAAAACACTGTAAGCAGATGCACTCACCCTTAGTAAATTAAGAATATGACAGCCACTTAGGGTACTCTCATTGTGAGGACAACTTCTACCACCAGGGGGCAAAGTAAAGTTTGCCTTATCTTTTTCTATTCTCCTTCCAGTGGTCCCCTAATAAAAAAAACATTTTAAGATTATAAATCTTTTTAAACTATCATATAGAATGATTAACTCTTCAGAATAGTTTTTTAAATGGTTCAAGACCCTGTATATAGCTTAATAATTTATATTTATTTAAGTGTATTGTATTGAGCTGCTCTAGTAATATATCTCAGGATCTTTTTTGTGTTTAAGGGCTCGAACACACTGACGACCAGGTCGCACCGGCCAGGCCGCTGCTACCTCTAAAACCATTAAATCAAATGATACCGCGCACACTAACGTCCTGGCTGTCCGTTGGTCGTTACGGCCAGTAGACTGCACTAAAATATTATTATTTTCTGCCGCTTGTTGCCGGTTTTCTTCCAAATTAATAATTTTTCAAATGAAATCCCTCAAATTCAACGCACAATATTTTATTTTCTATAAGATATAGTGTATTAGTGTAATTTTTGCTAACGTGCAGAAAATCCAAAGAAATAGTATACAGACTGGATCAAAGGGAAATTTACATCTAGTGCCTTTTTTATCAAGGGTCGATTCTAGTAAAAATGCAAAACATTTTTATATGATATACCTACTCTATTTATGGTGGGTATGATACCTGTTATTATACCTTCGAGTTTCGATGTTAAAAAATTAAAAAAATAATATTTAAAGTTTTTCTACAACCACTTGTTTTTTTATTAAATTAGTTTTTTTTTTAGTTGTATTGTACTAATGTACAAGGAGGACAACTGTATTTTAAATATTATATTTAATTTAACGTTTTTCAAACAGGGTTCGTTAGACTATATTTCTACTAGGTACATTATTTTTTAAAAAAAATTAAGAGTAAAAGTAACTTAAACATTCATAAAAATAGAAGTAATTACTGTTGTTGATTCTCAGTAACAATAAAAAAGAGGAATTTATATTGTAAACATTGAAATAACTGGAAGCTAAACATTCTACCTGCTTATATTTAGAGCCAGTGTCTGACGACCTTTTTTACGATGGCCCTAATACTTCTAAAGTCGATAAGAGCCATCAGTAGAAGTCCATATCAGTAGAAAAAAAAACAGAATATCTCCCTTTTTGTCGGTCGCGCGTACAAAATGTTTTTTGTTTCGGCCTATTTGTTCTGCTTGTCCGTGCGCGCTCGGTTCGTTCGGGCTAAAATGCTCAAGTCTAGACGCACCTTTAGGAACAATACTGTTTTTGTCCTTTATTGATATAATGCTGAAAATCTCTCGAGTGACATGTCTCACTCTACACATATTAAATTACACAGACGTAGGATGTAGAATATTCTGTTATGAAACGACTGATGGAATAGCAGGCATCGCGGATTTGAAAAACATGGAAATAACGGAGTTGGAGATTTTACTTGCTCCATTTACCACACCAGTATTTATTAACGAATTTTACTTAGTCGGGGATGGAGATTTTACTTACTCCATTTACCACACCAGTATTTATTAACGAAAAATCCAAGAATATTTTAAATGCATTATTTAATATTAGAACATTTAATAAGCTCATGAATAGCAACTTCGCTTTTTAGTTAACTCGGATATTTTAACATTTCTGAAACAATATTTTCTAATTGATAAAACGTAAAAAATCGTTAGATCTGACAACTCTGTTGAAACTGGTCGTTCATCTGGCCGCAGCTATAAACGCAATGCATCCGGCCAGCCGACGGCCAGGTCGTTGCGACCTGGCCTCGTCAGTGAGTTAGAGCCCTAAGATCTACTGAAACTATGGTTTATTAACAAACAAATATTGTAATGTAAATCTCTTAATCTAAGGCAAACCTTTTGAATATCGTTTTCTAACTCTTTCAAAAAGATGCTAGAAGAAACATGTGTCGCCAGCCATTGCTTCACCCTTTCAACATACATTTTGTAAGTAAATCCAACACAAACATTTTTAATTTCTTCTAACGCATCTAGTGGAAGAAGGTTGTCTATACATCCATGAATCTTTTTCTCTGCTATTTCATACATTGCTTCATTACAATCCCGCAAAAAATCCCTCACGAAGCCCTCAACAAATGATGAAGCCTTTTTCTTTAAAACATTCTAAAAAAATATATATTACTCTACATAATAAGGTTTCAGAATTGCATTCTATACTTTATATTCAAGCATGTCAGCGTTCTCCTCCTTAATATTTTCTTTTGATATATGCTCTCCAAAATCGCTCAAGACTTTAGATTTAGCTTTTGGAACCATGTCGTTACAAATATGTTTTACAGCAGCTGAAGCTACTCTCTCGCTAACAAATTCGACAGTTTTTCGTAAAGACGATGGTTGGCCATTAAAAAAAGCTTCTTCTAATTGATTCTTAAATTAATACAAAAAAGAAAAATTAAATAAACCAAACTTTTATCTAATCCTACCTCTAATTTCTTTTTTAATAATTCAGAGTTTGATTCTACAGCCGTCACAGGAGTAATATATTTTACAGAAACTTTTCCTCCAGAACTAGACAACAATTTTCTAATCTCTTCTAAATATGGACAACAAACATACAGAACGCTTTCATTGACAAGTTTTAAACTATCCAAATTCGTATCTTCCTTAGGTTCATGACCGTTACTCCTCATTAGAATTTCTGAATCAAATTCAGTTTTGGTAAACACTTGTTTTGAGCAAAATGAAAAATAATCAGAGTCAGGAAAATGGGGCAGTTCAAATAACCATCCCAAACAAAATTTCATAATAGCAATGCTGTAACTATTTCCTCTATCAAAATGTGACTTAAGGTAAAGTTCAAAAAGCATTTGGTGTAAGGCAGCATAATAAGGTAATCTCAAACTGACTTGATCAAGCATTGATAAATATTTTGTAAGCCAGGGTATTAATAAAACTAACTTTTTTTCAGATATTGCCTTCCTAAGCATGCTCTTGACATCTAGTAAAGGATTACACTATAAAAGAGAACAAATAAAAATAATATTTATTTAGTTTTTTTTTTTTCGATTATACAGTAGATATCATTACCTGACTTCTGATTTTTAACTGTACTTCAAATGCATTCTTTGACAGCAACATGCTGTCTGACTTATATGGCAAAGATTCAATGAAACCAAGAAACTTAGCCAACAATCTCAAGTTTTTAATACAGCTAATATATTGTTTTCTAGTTTTTGAATCAACATCTGAAAAATTAACACAATTAACTTCGTGCAAAACTTAATACCATACTATACCTTTAATTTTGTTTAAATCTGCTACCCAGAACTTTGTTTCATTCAGTTCTATAATGTCCGATGCAAGAATATCAGACAAATGTTTATTAAAACAATGACTAGCAGACACAACAATAAAATCTTTATAAAATTCTTGATACCCTGTGAAACTAGGCAGGGAATTTATCCCATTTGTTGATTCTTTCATTATTAGTCTATTTGTCAATTGATTTAGTTTATTAGGGTTGATTGAAAGTGAAGGGAAAAAACTAAGACCTCTTTCAGATACACCTTTCTCCTACATCAATAGAGGCATTAATTAAATTCATAAAATCAAGTATAATTTTACTTACTTTAGGCCCTTTAGAACAACTAATAAGTAACTGATTTTTAAACAGCCTTGCTAAATGAATATAACTAACAGGATCAGTACTTAGACTGAATAATGTCCTAATTCTTCCACTGAGCCCCATGCCGTAACTCCAATCAGGCAACAGATGATTATTTTCCCAAATCCGAAGGATTTCATAAAATAAGTCTCTTTGTTTACGAAAAGCATGAAAACCTTTATCATCAGAGAAATTATCCCTGTTGTCAGTATCAATGTTAAAACAAACATTACTCTGAGATGGAAGTGTAATAATTTCATTATAGGGTTTTTCTGTTTTATGACTAACCGATGCCAATAATTTTTTAGAGAAAGATGGTGAAAATTCTTGGATTCTTCTGTTATTAGCTAATAGTTCTAAAGTGCTTTTGTCATAAAATTTAATTACTGCCACCTGCAATTCTAAACACTTTGTAGCAAAATATACAATATTATGTATTGACTCAAAGAGTTGAGTATTGTACAACTTTATATTTAAAATTTTACTATGTTCTTTATTTGGCTGATCTAAAAAATCAATTCCTAAATTGCTATCATCTAAAGGCAATGTTGAGTTTTCTTTTGAATCAACTTTATCGATTAATAATAAGGATATGAGAAAATATATTTCACTGGTCATATTTAATATTAACTGGTTGTTGAGAATAAACTGATAAATCTTAATGATATAATCAATTTCCTTATTCAATGTAACTTTGGCAAGTGTTGGCTGAATTACTGTATAAGTACCACTAAGCCGTCTTAGTACAATTGGGTAAGCTTGATCTGTAACACTTTTATTAGATAGTACTTTATCTTTTTCTGCAATTAACATATTTCTTTGCTCTTCAATAGTGCAAGCTGCCACTTCAGTATTGTTTTTTTCAAAATTAAAACTGTTCCCAACATTTTTAAACCCATGGTCCTGTTCTTTAATATTAATAGTTGTAGGTTTAATTCTTCTCGGTGCCTCTTTTTTCTCTTCGCCTGAAACTTGTGGTAACTTTTTCTTTTTTATTTTTTTAGGATTATGTGTTATAAAATCTCCCAAACACAATGAGTACTTATCAGCAGATTTCTGACTTCCATTTAAAGTGATATTGTTTTTCAAAAAACTACTGTTATCTTGATATAGTGGAGATATCGGGCTTAAATAACACTCGGTTCTTTTTACAGTATTGTCTGGTTTTTTAGATGATTCTGGCGTACTATGATTATTAAAATTTGAGACAGGTTTTTCATTAGGAGGAAATAAATTATGTTGTATATTTTTGCTCTTAGATGTTTGCAAAGGTCGAGATTGAGTCTTTTGTATTCGCTTTGGTGTGTTATTCCTTTGAAGCAGGTCATTGCATTTACTTGTACTAAAATATAACAGATACATACCGAAATTAGCATTTACTATTGACTTACCAAGATTGATCATGGATAAAATTAATAAAGTAAGTAATAAAATCTATCTTAGCTACTTTTTCAATCAAAATTTCATTATAAAGATCATTCTACAAAAAAAAGTTCAGCATTAAGTTAGGTTAAAGACGGACAAAATATATTTTACCTCTGGTACTTCACACTCAAGCCATTTAATGAAGAGATTTATATTAAGTTCTTCGTTTATTATCTTATTTAATAAAATATCTGCCATAATTTTTAAATTATATTTTTCTTTACAAAATTTTTTATGGTACAATTGAACTACTTTAACTAGATAAACCAGAGATAAACCATAGAGCAAATCTTATCAATTACTTTTGGAATGTTGGCAGCAATTAACAGATCATATACAAAGAAACATAAATCATATATAAAAATATTGTATACGTCATATATAATAATAAAACATTGTCGGTTGGCGACACTGAAAAAAATCGTCGACAAAAAGATATGAATGTAAATTCGGATCTGTGGCAGATTCTAACCTATATTTTGGAGGCATGTAAATCAAATATTAAAACGTATATGAGCGACGCTAAAGTCTAGAAATACAGAAATTTTTTAAAATTTAAGTCATTTATAGTTTATATATAAATGAGAACATTGTATTTTATTAAATGAGACTAATAGAAACAGCAATGGAGAGTAAGAAATCGCTTAAAGAAGCCAAGAAGAAGAATCTTCTCCTGGTTCAAGATGTAAATTATGCTAAAAACTTAGCAGCTAATGACGAAAAAGTACGACGAAGAGCTCTGAAATATCTTAAAAAGTATTTGCAACAGAGATCTGAAGGCAACAGTAAGTAATTCAGCAGCAAATAGCCTTTTAATTTCATATGTTTTCATATTTCTATTCCAGATTTAACTGAAGAAAATTTAAAAGTATTATGGAAAGGATTGTTCTTTTCTATGTGGATGTCGGATAAACCTTTAATTCAGGAAGAGTGTGCTGAGAATATATCACATTTAATACATTCTATGTCTTTTCAACATTCAATGGATTTTTTTAGAGTGGGATTAATTACATTGCAAAATGAATGGTTTGGTATTGACCAGCATAGAATAAACAAATTTATGATGGTATGGTATAAGACTTATTATATTTTTCAATGTAACGACATACTTAAACCTATGTTTTTTAGTTTGTGCGGCGATTTTTAAGACAAGCTTTATTTGTTTTAAAGAAATTTAATTTCAAGAAGCGTCACAATAAAACATTTGCAGAAATACTAGAAAATACTATACTTAGCACATCAGAAACTCCTCCGTTAGGCTTATTTATGCATTTTACTGAAATTTATCTTGAGGAACTTGCAAAAGTTTCTGATGACAAGTTACAATCTTCCAGAACTTTAGATTTGTTAAAGCCTTATATCGCAAAACTGGCTTTTACAGATGATAGAAGGGTAACTGAATGGATTGATAAGTTTATTTTTACGCACTTGATGAAACAACACAAACTGGGATTAGAATACGAAGATAAATATAATGTTTGGAAAGCTGTATGTATATTTTTCTGAAATATTTACAAATTTTTTTAAAAAATTGTGCATTTTTTAAATATTTTCACATTATTTCTAAGCAAAAAAACTGAAGTTAGATATTTTTAGAATAGATTTGAGGGTTCTATAAATCAAATTCAAAAAGTTGTATTACCAGATGATGAGGACGATGATGATGAGTCTGAAGAAGTTCCAACAATTTCAAATGAAAATAAGCCATTAGATCCGAGAGCAGGGAGAGTTGATGTGGAGCTGCCACAAATTAAATTTAATAGTAAAGACATATCACAAACATTTCTGGAATTTAAAACTGATTCGAGAACATCTAAACATACAAGACATTTTTTGAAGCAATGGGCAGATAGGTAAGTTAAATCAGTTGATATATTAAATTTTTAAAAATTGTACATTATTTAAATATATTTATTTGCATATTTTTTTCAAGTTCAGTATTCAGTACTTTTCAACTTATTTTTAAAGTTGGGAATTAAATAGGTCACTACTAATTTTTAAAATATTTGCACAATTCACAAAGAAATACATTTCTAAATATACTTTATTATGCATACTTACCTTTTAGATTTGAAAAACTCCATAAAGGAATATATCCTTTAGGAATCAAAAGATTAGAAAAAAATAAACAAAAAAAGGATGTTGATATGAATGTAACTAAAGCTGCTAAAAAATTAATTAAATTTGAACAAAAATTATTGGCTAGAGATAGAAGAGAAAATAAAAGAAAAAGAGGTGAGTTATAGCAATAAGTTACAAGTAACTTATATACTTGATTTTTAATTTTTTATAGATAACAAAAATAATGAGGATGAACCAATAACCAAAAAAAGGAAAGTTGCTCAAGAAAGTAAGAAAACAGAAAAAAAAAGTAAGCGGAAAGATGTGGGATCTTTAGAAAATGAAATAAATAAAGTAGAGAAGAAAGAGTTTGCTAAATTGAAGCAAAAACTTAAAAAAAGTACAGAAAATAAACTATCTGCCAAAAAGGATTTAAGAAAAGCAAAGAAAAAAGAAGAAAATGGGATATTAAAGGATATACCAGATTTTGACTATTGTTTCCAAAGAAATTCTGGAATGTGGTTTGTGTCATCACAGGACACGCAAAATTGCACATTATCAAGTTAGTTTTTTTTGTCACCGCACAAAGTTAATATATTGTCTTGTTTATAACTTGTTTCAAAAGGTGGGAAATTCAAAATTTGTTTTTGAGTTATAAAAATTTAAAAAATATTTACACATTTTTGAGAGTTCAATAATGAGTTGGCTTATTGAAAAAGCAGAAAGTGATTTTTTATATATTGCCACTTCTTATATTATTTGAGCATACATTTTAGATATATTCAAATATTTCTGAAAATATTTGTACATTTTTTTAAATGTTCTCATATTTTTAAAAATATTTGTATGTTTTTATCAGTGTTCAATAATTTTAAACGTGCACATTTTTTAAGTATATCGGGTGTGGCTCACCTCTATAATTTTTTTATTTTTTCAGATAAAAAAAAGAGATTTGGTATGTTAGTATACAACATAAATTAAGAGTGATTGACGTATTCAATTGTTTTCAGTCACTTCCTGTTTCACCTGAAATTACTACATCTTTTGATTTTTAAATGACACTCTCGGTATTTTGTTACTTTATTCGATAGAAAATGACACTCTGAATAGAATGACATATCATATGTCAACTTTTGACCTTCTTGCTTTAAAAAAATCGTATTTTAAATTTCAATCTAGAGTGCCATGGCTGTGTTAAAAACACCAATTTTTAATCAAGGAGCCTTGGAAAAATAGATTTGATCGTCTAACTTTTTCGTATTTTATCGTCTAAATATCGTATTTTTGATCATATGTCAATTTTTTCAAACGGATAAGTGTGGCTCATTAGCATATTAGAAAAAAGCATTTTTTACAAATAATTTGATACCACACACTTGGTATTTCGAATCAAATTATCGTTATGAACCGCACGTTAGAATTTCAAATTAAACCATTTGAGAAAATATCCAAAGTTGACATATGATATGACATTCTAGTCAGTGAAACAGAAAGTGACCAAAAACAATTGAATACGCCATCAATCCTAATTTATGTCATATACTAACATACCAAATCTCGTTTTTTTTTTGTGAAAAATAAAAAAGTTATAGGGGTGAGCGAGGAGTGTCTCACTATTGGAATTACCTGTACATTTTGCATGGCAGTAGAATGATATTTTGGCAGTACCGGGGGTGAGCCTTTTTTGGAACGCACCCGGTATTTACACATTTTTTTCTAAAATTCAGTATTCTAGTTATTTTTAATATGGCTCAATATGGGGTTAAATAAAATCGTCTTTTAGTTATAACTGCCGCTTAAAATACAGGGTGGTCCGAACTGTATTCCGGAAACTTCGGCAGCATATTCTACAGATAAAAATAAGTTAAAAAGTTCCTATAAATGTATGTACGTCCTAAAATGCTTACTTTCGGAGATACAGGGTGTAGAAATCTCATTTTTATTTCGATTTTTTCCAAATAATTTCTGAAGCAACGTCAATATTTGGATGAAAATTAGGGTCTGGGATTTTTTTGACATGATAAATTTGATTTTGATGTCAATATGATTCCTACTTGTAGAGGGCGCCACCTACATATTTTTTGACTGATTTGAAGTGTAATAACTTTTCGTCCGTACCTGTATAAAACTAACGAGTAAAAAAACATACATTTACGACGTTTTTTACGTAAAAAAGGTCTCTTGGTAAAAATCGCTACAAGTAATGGTTCTCTAGATATTTGGAATCAAAATTATTAATACCTCATCATTGACATAAATTAAACATGTTGACCAAATAGTTATTACAATGAAATTATAAATTTGAAATGTTTTTGTGCCAAAAGTTCAACAGAAACTGTTTCATCATCATTTTTTCGAAGAAAAATTTATTATTAATTTAAAAAAATAAAAAGCTCCCACATTTATAATGTCAGTTAGTGTTGCACAAGAGTCTTGAACAAGTCTTGCAAGACCAAGACTCTTGCAAGAAATTCATGACAAGACTTTCAAAATTTCTTGTCTTGAATTTCAAGACAAGACAAGACTTTAATGTGCAAGAAATTTCAAGAGTCTTGCAAGATTTCTTGAATTCAAGATTTCTTGAAAGTTAGAAATGATACATTTTTTTAAGTGATAATTAGGTGTTTGCGCAAGTTATGCTGGGTTTATACAACATTTACATAGTCGTAATCACAATCATAGTCATAATAATAAAAGTTAAACTATCCACTTCTTATAAACCTGTCGACATCTACCATGAACTTAGCCTCTAATTATGTTACCCAACTTCACTGATATAAAAATTATGATTATGAAAATGTTCTATAAACGCACATTAAAAGTGCGTTGTGATTATGACGTTGATTAAGACTTTGAGTATGATTACGACTTATGCAAATGTTGTATAAACCCGGGATTAATATTGAACAGTATTCATTTTTTTTTTCTATCATAGCCAGTGTTTTAGAGTTGAGAATGAAATAAAATAAAGTCAAGGCAACAAACCGTATATTGGTAATTGGTATTCTACATAAAATTATATTGGTATAATGGTATTATAAAAAAACTAATGGTGGGTTCGTCGAGCACGATTTGCTCTGTTTGGTACTACTTTTCATGCACGAAATTGCTCCGCGAACAAAAAGTAGTATCAAATAGCGCAAATAGTACACTCTAACATGACCTTCCCGTACACCCTGTATCCAAACTTTTCCAACCAATCTTCCATAATAAAAAAATAAAATAAATATACCATAAAAAATAAAAGTAACAAACGGGTAACCAAAATAGAACATAATAAACTAACAAGAATTAACAACTAGAACTAAAAAATGAACTTATGGAAATTCATCTATCCAGGAATTCAAACAAATTAAACTTCTTACCGATTCTGAATTTAGCCGGTTTCTGTGTTTCCTTAAGTACCTTTACCAGTGCTGCCTTCGAAAAGATCCTTTCTGCGGGAACAGAAGTAGCTGGTGTACAAAAAAAATCATGAGCCATTTTTGACAGCACTGAAAATATGGCACTATGGCTCTGCCACCATGCTAAAATATCTGTTTTATCGTTCACTCTTTGCATAGATAAATAATTTCGAAGTTCATTTTGAAAACCACTATCAGTATTGACATTACAACTACAACTACCAAAACTACCTGAATGTTCGTCTTGATGAGTATGATGAAACGCTTCGTATACTACTTACAAGTCTTGCAAGACAAGACAAGACTTTGCCATTCAAGAAATCTGCAAGACAAGACTGAAAATTTCTTGTCGACACTAATGTCAGTCAAATAGCTATCTACTCAACATGTTTATTTTTAGTCAATAATGACATGTATTGACTGTTTTTACATTCTATATATCTTGAGAACGGTTGCTCGTAGCTTTACCAAGAGACTTTTTTATGTAGAAAATAACGGAAATATATATTTTTTTACTCAGTAGTCTTATACAGGTACGGGCGAAAAGTTATTACTCTTCAAAACAGTTAAAACACATGCAGCTGGCGTCTCCTACAAATAGGAGTTATATTGACATCAAAATCAAATTTCCAGTTTCCAAAAACCAAAAAATCCCAGACGCCAATTTTCATCCAAATATTGACGTTACTTCAGAAATTATTTGGAAAAAATCGAAATAAAAATAAAACTTCTACACCCTGTATCTCCGAAACTAAGCATTTTAAGACGTACATTTATACGAACTTTTTTACTTATTTTTATCTGCAGAATATGCTGCCAAAGTCTCCAGAATACAGTTCGGACCACACGTATTTAAGAAGTTTAATGATTATTATGAATATATTTTTTAGGCACTAGTAAACCAAAGAGAAAAAATAATCAAAGGAAGTCTCCGAATAATGGTATGTTTGTATTTTGTATGCACTGTATTTTGATTTTTTATTAATTTATATTATCTTATTATAGAAGATTTACGAGATCAACCTACTATAAATAATGAAAATGATGATAATGCGGAATACGGGATATTTATTCCTTCAAAAAAATCTATCAAAAAATTAAAGAAGACTAAAGCAGAAAATGAAATTAATGAGATTGTTACCAAGCTTAGAGGTAAAAATAAGGTACGCTTTGAATGTAATGAGGTTGTATATTATTTTATATACATTTTTTTTCTGTCATGATACAACCTCATCTAGTTTTTCTACATAGAATAATCAAGATGTTTTTCCCCTACAGAAAAATGTTAGTGTTAGTAAGTCTCCAAAAAATCCTCGAAAATCGCCTAGCCCAAAAAAGGTGAAAATTAACACTAAACTCAACGTGTCGCAGGAGATAGATGATCACATTCAACAAGTGATTTCGTCGCCACAGATTCCTTTTGATAGTATGAAAAAACCTGGAAAGCCATTGCTCAAGACGCCTATTAAATCGAGCCCTATAAACCCTTTTTATAGAATGAAAATATTTTGAGAACATATCTACTTTTTTTGTTTTTTAATCAAAATATTTATACATAAATATAAGTTTACAGTGTTATTTGGATATTTTATTTTATTTAATAGTGAGTCTATGAATTTCTGAATAGTTTTTTTAAGAGTCCATTTCACTAGTCCGAAAAAGTAGCAAAATAAGCGTTCGCCATTTAAACATTTTATGCAAAAACTGGCTAGGTATTTTTACACAAATGAAGAAGGAAATTAAAGATAAAGGATTATACATCACAAACTGTATTGTAAAAATAAGGTAATTAAGGGCTTATTTTTTGGTATTTTTTATAATTTCGCTAATATCTTTGGTTTGAAAGAAGATATCAAGATACGGTTTTCGCTAACTTTGTAAGCTTTTACTCTTACTTACTACTTTTTTTTACTCTTACTCTTACTACTCTTTACTACCAGCTAAAATAGCATATATTATCGTATTTAATTTTTTTGAAAAAACGCGCTATGTTTGTTAAATTGTAAGAAAGCGCCCCCTAGCGTCTACGTTCAAAAGCTTATTATTATTGTTTATATGGTACAATATAGAGTAAGAAACGCTCTTTTAAACGAGCCCTCGTCTGTTGGATTCCGATCATCCAGTCCGGAGTTATTAACATTTAAATAAGGATAGATCTAACCTTCCCCCACCACTTTATTTTAGCAGATATGGGGAAACGGTTCTAACAAAAAAAATCCAAAATTTACTGAAAATTATGAAGCTATTATTTATAATAGTCATTATCTAATTTGACTACTGGCAAAATTCTGTAAAAAAACTATTTTCCATAGCAGTTGCGCCACCTAGCGGCCGTTTTACAAACTTGAAAATAATTTCCAGCAATTTCTCATAGCCCCTTTAGTTATAAATATTTTTTTCCGTAAGCCCTACGCTAATACTTTCCGAGATACAGCCGAGAGCTATTCTTAGTGGACACCCGGTACATTCAGGCTGAGAGCGTCGCGTCGCGTCCGCCCCATTGAACCCCCAAACCAAACCAACCCCCCTCCCCCAAAAAGGGGTGTTAAATCGGGTTTAAATTATCCTATCTTACATCGAGCTAGTTCAAAGACAATATAATAATATTACTTTTTTAATTTAATTACTAGTTTTGAATTTACAACACCTCCTTTTTGACAATTTTCTTAATATACGAAACGCGCAAAAATAAAGCGAAAACAAGTAATATTTTACAGTCCTCTTTTAATTCCTAAAAATCGGTATTACCCAGGAACTGTTTCGTTTATCCATGGTTTGTCCATGGGCATTAAAAGTAAAAATCATTTTGCCAAAATATACCGTGCCTTTGATGCAGTTTAGTTTGAATCTATTTCTAATAAAATTACTTTACTTCTTACTTCAATCAGACTTGAACAAAAAAGCTTTACCGCGCTTTGGTCTCGGATTAATTTGACTAAAAAAAGCAACTGTTAAAGTAGTGATTCTATAAATTTTATCGCCACATTCGGCCACGTTTGTTAAAAATTTAAAATAAAAGATAAACAGTGTGGAAAAAAATGAAAACTACATTCTTCATTTTTGCGGATGCCGATGAATTCTATAATTTACTTTTTTTGCCACTTAAAATTATATAAATATCATTATATTGTATAAGATTTAAATGTTATAAATTATAATAATTTGAACCACAGTGTAACTAAACTGAGCATCAATTGAAGCGTAAAGTACAAATTTTTGCATTGAGTTTAACTTCTTGTATTTTTTAAACTTTTGAAGGAATTTTGAATTTGCCAGCCAGATTCTAAAACTGTTTTATCGACTATCGAACCGTTCTTTGCAGTTTTTTTCAATTATTGGTCAGGACCCATAATACAGGATAAAACAAAAATGCGCGCATTTTTAACAAAATTTTAAATAAGCCTCATTTTGTGGAGGGATGGAGGAGATCTATTTTTGTGGGTAGTTTGAAGGAGGTGTTTTAGACCTCGGGACGTTTATGGTTTTTTTGGCTATCGCTCTCCATTGCGATGTTTTCGATATTCTTATGATTGTCGGTAGAGTTTTAATACTAATAATTTTATCTCATTGTGAAATGAAGATATCGTATTTTTAAGCATTATGCATTTTAATGTATAATTAAATAAAGCAAACAAATAATTTTATAAAACTAAAAAATGTTACAGTTACATACAGGGCGTTAAAAATTTATCTAGCTGGTATATATGAACAGGTTTTATTATGTATCTTGGCATAACAAAAGAAGCATTTAACACTTTTTCATTAACGATACAGTATAATCATTAGTTAATGCGCATAATACTCAAAAATACAATATATTAATTTCATAATGAGATAAATTTATTAGAATTAAAACCTTACCGAAAATCATAAAAAAAGGAAAACATCGCAATGGAGAGCGATACCCCAAAAAAACTCAAAAAAGTCCCGAGGTATAAAACAGCTCTTTTAAAATACCCACAATAATGGAAATCCTCCATACCCCACAAAATGGAGGGCACTTAAAATTTTGTAAAAAATGCACGCATTTTTGTTATACCCTGTATTATGGGTATTGGCCAATAATTCGATAAAAAAGCGTTTCAGACTCTGGCTAGCAATTCAAAACGCCTTCAATAATTCAGAAAATACAAGAAGTTCAACTTGATGCAAAAATTTTCACGTTACGTTTCAATTGGTGCTCAGTTTACTTTTTTAAATAAATTTATTAAACTATGTTATTTGATGTATTTTATTAAGCTGAATTGAATAAAATCCGTCCCAATGCGATTGGATTAACGGTTTAGGAAATATAGGGTTTTTTCGTTATATTATCAGTTTCACACCACTGTGCAATGCTCTCAGCCTGAATGTACCTCGAGTGTAATAGACTCTTAAACATATACAAATAAAAGAAAATGAGAAAATGAATTCAAAACACAATAAACTATATTAATATATATATATATATATATCAGTTAGAATCTACATGTTTAGAAAATTACAACCAGGTATTTTAATCTCTTAAAACTAATATAAACAGAATGATGAAAAAATTACAATTTTATTCTGGATCAGAGACACTTAATTCATCTGGTAGCTTAGGAGATGATTCTGCTTCAGCTTCTATAAAGAATATAAAAAATAAATAATTTGTTGGTTAAAAACAAAATTACCCACCAGTATTTGAGTCTTGTATACCGTTACTTTCAAAATTATCTTCATCAACATCTGACTCCTCCTATCAAAAAAATAAAAATATATGTTGTTTTTATAAACTAATTTTTTAAGCACATCTTACCAAGTCGGTATCAGAACTTTCCACATCAAATTCCTAAAACACAAAAATAATTGATTAAAAATTCAATCAGTTTTTAAACAAGTTGATATTTTTATTTAAATCTTTGCTCCCTGATTTATCAGCAGCCACAAAAACAGGCCAGCATGGTAGCCTTTGTTTTTATGCTTTTCTGTTCTAAATCACTTTTAACAAGTTTTTAAGTCATTATTAGTAATTTTTATTTCATTTTATTACCGGATCATACTCAGAATCATCACTTTCCAAAATATTATCTAAGGAAACGACAGACTCATCCATATCTACATAAGGGTTATCATCCATCAAGTTTAATACATCTTGCAGATCAACTCTGACCTAAAATAATAGTTAAAAATGGCATAATAAAAAAAGGAAATAATTAATTAACACTTGTTTCATACAGCAATAGGCATTTCATCATCATCCCAATTTTCCAGATCACTACTAAATTCATCTACATAAGGGTTGTCCACAAAATCTCGCATCTTTGTAATATTAAAATAGTTGAGTAGTATGTTTACTTGGTTGTTTTGGCTTTCTTTTAAGATCTTTTACGACAATTTTTTTTCCTTCCACTTTAGTTTTCTTCAAATCCTTAAACACTGTTTCCAACTCTTGTCGATTTTCAAAGTCTACTGTGCACCAGCGACGCGATTTCTGATATCAAAATGTTTAATGAAATTAGCCATAATTGATTATTAAAAATTATTATTACCTGTCTTGGTAGACGGACGTGAGTAATATTTGGATGCAAGCTTAAAATCTGTTGTTCGTCTACAATTTTAACTGGTAAACGTAAATATAAAGAATGCCTTTTCTTAATTTCTATTCTAAAAATACAACTTTATTACAATATAATAATGAATGGGCAATGTTGAAAATATGAGAACAGCTTAGAGATTGGATGATGTTTTGTTAAAATAACATATGTTCTTCACTAATTGTAAATAAGAAGAACGAGATAGGCATTTCTAAAAATGATAAAAAAACACTTATTTACCCCATTTCAAAATCAAAAGGCCAGAAACAAATGCATTTGAAATCACATGCCAAAACCAAAACAAAATGGTATGACAAATGACAAAATGACAAAATTGACAGATATTTTAAAAAAGAAGAGGAAATAGAGAGAGATAGAAAGATTTTTTTTCCGTCAGGACAATCAACATTCAAATATTAAAAGCCCAGAATAATTTTTTAGAGTCAAAGATTCGAATCTATGGCCTATATCATATATAAAATACTCTAATTTTACTATTGGCAACATTGTCTATTTTAGTTCATTTCACTTTTTAGATATGATAATGACATTACTCGGATGACATTGACAGATAACAATTTTATTAAACCTCGTGTAAGTTGTAGGATTTCCGCTAATTTTTTAGGAACAAAATCCAAAAAATATATAGAGATAACTTAAATAAATATGGCGCAAAGTAAGTTAAACGATCTGGCCGGAAAATTCGGTAAGGGTGGTCCACCCGGATTAGGATTAGGAATGAAACTATTGACTATCGGAGGTCTTGCGGCTTACGGAGTTTCTCAATCTATGTACACAGGTAAGATAAATATATTTTTTTTTTATCATGAAAACAACCAGTGGATTTTGTACTGTTGTAGTTGAGAATTATTATTAGACATATATATATTAATTTTATACTTTCTAACCTAATAGTACATATCCAGTCAAAGTTAATGATTAAATTTAAATTATGCAATTACAATAGCAAGGAAGTCTAAAGAGTAATAATTTTGTAGTGGAAGGTGGTCACCGAGCTATTATATTTAATAGAATTGGAGGTATTCAAAAAGACATTTACACAGAGGGACTGCATTTTCGTATACCGTGGTTTGAATATCCTATAATTTTTGATATCAGGTAGGTATTTTTAGACTAGAAACTATTAAAGGAGACTAGAAAAATATTAAGATGTATAAAAATTTTAGATCTAGACCTAGAAAGATTTCTTCCCCAACTGGTTCTAAAGATCTTCAAATGGTTAACATTTCTTTGAGAGTATTGTCTAGACCAAACGCTAGCCAACTTCCATTTGTATACAGGCAGCTTGGTTTAGACTATGATGAGAAAGTGCTTCCATCTATTTGCAATGAAGTCCTAAAATCAGTTGTTGCCAAGTTCAATGCCGCCCAACTAATTACTCAAAGACAGCAAGTTTCTCTTTTAGTGCGAAGAGAGTTAGTTGAAAGAGCGCAGGATTTCAATATAATTTTAGATGATGTTTCTATCACAGAATTGTCGTTTGGCAAAGAATACACAGCAGCTGTTGAAGCTAAACAAGTAGCTCAACAAGAGGCACAGAGAGCTGCATTTGTGGTAGAAAGAGCTAAACAAGAAAGACAGCAGAAAATTGTACAAGCTGAAGGTGAAGCTGAAGCCGCACAAATGATATCCTTTTTATTTTTAATATTTTTGTGTTTATATGTTTATTAATAATTTTTATATTCATATGTTTTGGAATCATTTTTCTTAATAATACTTACTTAGGTCAAGCAATCTCACAAAATCCTGGTTATCTGAAACTCAGAAAAATTAGAGCTGCTCAAAATATTTCAAGGACTGTAAGTACTAGTATTGTTTTGGACGTTTGTCTTTATTATTAATTTTTGTCATATTTTAGATTGCTAATTCTCAAAATAAAGTATATTTGAGTGGTAACAGTCTTATGCTGAACATTTCTGATAAAGAATTTGATGATCAGAGTAACAAATTGAAAAGTAAGAGTTAAAGATTGATGATTATCTTTATTTAAGATTTAGTTTGGTACCAGATCTTGGTTTAATATATATTGCTTTATATCGGTAATATAAAACAAGAAACCACAATTTATATTGTTTTCTAGGTTTTTAATTATAAGAAAGACTTTTTTATGATAATGGATTAGGCATTGTCGGAAAACGAATATTGCATTGTTGTTACTGCCTTACTGTAAATATTCAATAAATTGTTTATAAAGATAAAGGCGCTTTATTTTTGTTTTGCTCGTGCTAAATTCTAAAGAAAAAAAAACGAAAAATAATACTAACATATTTATTAGTTTTGAAAAATACAAATTAATATTATTTTTCGTTTTTTTTTTCTAGGTGGTTATGGGCCTAGGGATTTTGATGCAATGTTGGATAGTAAGCGAGATAAATTGTCTATATTGACGCTATCTCGTTTTGCAGCTGAGAGGATTTCGCCAAAAAATTACACCTAAGCATATAGTTTTTTACTACTTTATATACTCTCCAGCATTTATTTCAGTAATTTTTGTTAATGAAGCACTTAATAGAATAGAATTTAATGTTATTAAAATATTTTTATACAGTTTTGTAATGGTTTTATTATTTCTCATTAAAAAAAAGACAAATTAGAAGTAATTAGCTGATATTATTACTTATTGATTTCCCGTGTAGACCTAAGCGCAAACATGGCAGCCACCATAGCATAAAATTTTTGAATGCGTACCGTCGAAGCTTATTCTACGTCCATAGAGTGATGAGTGGTAGGTATATACCCATGTGTAGATAGTAGATACTGTTCTCAGCTACCGGTTTCTGTGAAAGCCCTAAGACTGGTGGCTTTCTAACTTTTAAGATGTTTCATATTTCTCTTTTTCAACTCCAAGAGAAATTTTTCAGATGACCCTCGTAGCGTATAAAATCTCCAGCAAATATCAGAATTGCTATCTGTGATAGAGAGCGAGCCGTGACAGTAACATACTTGCAAATTATGGCGTGCGAATCCAGACGGAGTAAATATTTATGAGGCAAAATTTGGAACTGTTATATTTTTTCAATAAATATGTATTGAAAAAATAAATTCGGCTCGGGCAGACGAATAATTTCAAACTGTTTTCGAATTCCGCAGGATGGCGGGTGGCGAAACGTGTGGCCCCGCCTCAAGGTCTATATCACTATACAGGGTCTGGCAAATAGTGCGATGGGTATTTATTGTAGCTCCTTTAATAAAAAAAAACTTAGGAATTTTGTGTTTGAAAAGAGCAAAATAAACATTTAAATCTCAATTTAAAAAAAATAAAAGATATAGGATAAAATAGTGTAATAAAAAGATACACGTTTAAAACATATCTATTTTATTTGTCACACAATTAAAACTAGATACAAATCTATACAATTATGTAACAAAAATTAGCTAGATGAAATCAAATGTTCCAAATGCTTCCTTTCCTATTTACTGCATAAAATGATTATTCTTTCAAAATATCTTTTCATAACACTGTCCTTTAAGATATCTCCATAAAAAAGCCCTGACTAGATAAAATTAGGATCATTTAAGAATTCTATTAATTGGTGATTGCACACTGCATTCACCAACTAATAGAATCATATCGCAATTATCTCTGATGTAGGGTAAGTTTCCATTTTTCGGAAAATTTCTGATATTTTTTTTGTTTTAACTGACACAAAATGATAATTAGTTGCTAAAGTCCTAAAGTTGAACTAATTAGATAGCTATGTTGAAGTAACGTCAGACGTATCACAGCCACTCCTAGATTTTATAAAATAATAAAGATCTAATCATACTAAAAATCATAAAAATAAAAATATCTAAGAAAATATTTGTTTAAATTCCAACCTTAATAGTATTTTGAAGAGACATGAATTCCCCATTGAATATCGCCATAATTAACTGGGTGTTCCATTTAAACTAAAGGAGTAAATTGCTTTTAAATGTGACCAATGTTCAATATTAATTTTGCCTCACACTGTATAACTTTTTTACTCAGGTTTTAATTTGATTTAAAGTACAATAGTTATTTATTATATTATTATAACTAAATATTAGACTATAACGGGTAAATTCCAATTTAGGTAGTGTTTATTGAAATTTGAAAATTGCTCTTTGCTCTTCATTTTCAGAAAATGTTAAATAAATCAAAAACCTTACATTTGAGCCATATACTTCCCTAGGAAAACTCACCTTTATTGTTCCCATAGAAACTAAAAATCAATTAATATATATAGGGTGTCCCATATTACAAAAAACACAACTTGGATGTGTAACCTTTTTTGGGGACACCCTGTAGAACTCTATATTTTTAAAAAGTGCTCTGTCTACATAATATCCTTTATGCTCACAAAATTTCATTTCAATATAAACTGTTGTTCTCCTTGAAGCCTCCGCGTCGCGCGTCTTATGAGGGTGCATCCATACCATAGTTTTTGTAAAGCTATACCTAAAAGTTTTACTTTAGTTGAAAATGTTTTCAAGTTGTTTGAAAAAATCCTGGAAAGAAATAATAAATATCACAACAGAACACAATTTCTAACTACTCTTGATTTTCGATTAATACGGCAGAGGGATATAAATTTTTCCTTGACGCCACTGGTCGCCCATTTCCTTCCTCAAGGTAAAAGCGCATTTTCATATCCTGTTTTCCGTCTGGTATTGGACGCGGTGCGCGAATAAATTTTATTGTAAAATCAAAACAAATCCCCGGCATTACGCCTACCATTCACTGCAATTTCAGTCTATGATATGATAATAACTAGGAAACGCGCAACGGCTACGATAGTCGTTCATTTATTTCGGTATGCGAGACGACAAGTTGCCATTAGAATGGAGATGCAATTCAACGCATAGTTTTTTTTTTCTTTTTATTTAAAAAAATAGTTATTTATAGTCCACCAACGGTATCTAGGCTCATTATTATACGTAACGATTTGTAGTACCTATAGTAAAAAATGTCATTCAGATGTCTCACATAATAGTTGTTCATCGTCTTAATCTTTATACAGTATGGTGCACCGGGAAACTTTTCATTAATTCTTAGAGTAGACTTAGAAGAACTTAGAAGAACACTTTTTTGAAGCGGCGTTAAAGTTGTACTTTGACCTAAATTTCGTTTTATTTGGAACCCATAAACTGGTAAACATTTTATTATATTTACCAGCAAAAGTATGATTTTGTCATTGTCAAATTGGATGTTACATTTTCTTTACAAAAACTTCTGTTTTGAAAAAAAATAATGAAGTGAGACTTCTTTATGTGCGCTGGGAGAAAAATTTCAAAGCCGAGACACGAGGTAGCGTCAGGAAAAATGGTAACGATCGAAAATGTGGTAAGCCAATGAAGAAGTTAGCCCTCTAGCCCTATATGTGAGCTAGGAAGCTGAAGCTTCTTGTAGTTTTTGGTTTGGTTGGTTGGACTTTTCATGATAATTTGACGATGTTTCGTGCACTACAAAATCCCATTATCAATGAATCAAATCAAAAAATCGTCCGATTTAAATGAAATTACTCGAACGATTACAAAACTCATGCCTCATTACAAAGCTGTTGAGTTGGGAGAACCTTTCGTATTGCACAGAAATAGCATTGTTAAGTTCATTAGTGATGTAAAAATTCTAAGTAGTCGTTACAAAGTAACAGTTACTTTACGAGGACTAGCTCGAAGTAACGCTCACCATTTGAATTTAGGACTCGTTACTCGTTACTAAGCCAATTCGTTACTTTTGCGCTGGCAGTAATCGTAATACCTGGAAATGCACAAACCGAGGACTCGAAACTCGATACTGAAATATTCGTTACTTCGACCTAGACACTTCTGAACAGACGACACTAAAGCTTTGTTTTGGTTCACGCGTTAGGACAGATCGCACATGCGTCGTAAGTGTTTTATGTTTTGGTTCATTCGGAATTGATTCTGAATGTATACACAGCTGTTTTGGTTTCTGGCTGGGACTGGTTCTGGACAGTTCTAGGATCGTCCTAACGATTCGCGCCTCTCAGTAGGGACGGTTTACGAATTAACAGTTCGCACATGCGCAACAATAATAATCTTTGATGTGTTTTGGTTTATGGTTCTTTCGAATTGATTCCGAACCGATCCGAGATAATAACTAGTACGCAATTTGTTCTGCGCAATTCTAGAATCGTCCTGAAATTCGAACCAAAACAAAGCTTAAAACTCACGAAAACCTCGGAAGCATTCGGATCCTACACGGAGAGTTCGGTTTTATTCGGCGAGAAGCGCTTTGCGGGAATTTTGAAAATTATGAATAATCGAGAATCGAACAATAATCACAGACAATAATTTTATTATGCGAAATTGCTAACAGTAGTTGACTGTTTTGGTTGTTCATTTTGTTTTTTATAGTTTTGACTATTTTTAGAAATATGGCTATATTTAAAAACTGATCTGCATTCATATATTTTTAAAACATACAAATATCATTAAAGTTACGAAATGTAATTTGTCATTATTTGCTCATTTTAAAGAAGGAAGGTGGTTAATGTATTTGGCTGATATTTGGTAATATACAGTGCCGGACTTAGGCCTAGGCCAACTAGGCCCGGGCCTGGGGCGGCAAATTTTAGGGGCGGCAGATTTTTTTCTGAAATTAGAAATCTAGATAATACTGAATCATTTGAGGAATATGAAAGAAGGGCCATAGAATTGTTCGGTGAGAAAGAATATGCGCCAGATAAAAAAGAAAAGTTAAACGGAAACGACAATTTGATAAAACCAGTGATAATGAAACTATATTTAACGCTAGGGACGATTTTAGGATAAATGTATTTAATGTTATTATTGATAAATTAATCCTTGAAATTTCCTACAGGAAAAGTGAATGAATGACTTTTCAACCAAATTTGGTTTCTTTAGTGATTTATCTACTTTAAGTATTGACGACATTACCGATAAGTCCAGACATTTAATAACCTGTTATCCAAATGATTTAGATGAGTCAATGCCTAATGAATTAATACATTTTCGTGAATTTATAAAATGCATTAAGTCAGCAAAACCATCTGCTAGAGAGCTTCTTAAGTAATTTATAAAAAAACGCCCAAGGCCTGTTTCCAAATACTTTAATAGCATTAAGAATCTTCACATGTACTTTTATTACTAGCTGTTCTGCTGAACGCTCGTTTTCTGCATTGAAACGTATTAAAACTTATTTACGGTCCACTATGGATCCATTATGGAAACAGAACATCTAAATCATTTGGCAGTTTTACATATTGAATCCGACCTTTTAGAAACTATCAATTACAATGAAGTAATTGATAATTTTGCGAACCAAAAAGTACGTAGGAAACCTTTATAAGCATATAAGCAAACCTTATAGTTTTTTTGTTCGTTTGTTGTCATTTTATATGAATATTTTAATATTTATTTTATGTTCTGTGTTGATCTGTTCTGTCGGTCTATTCTGTTGTTGGTCCTGTATTCAAATAAATGTTTTTTTATATCCGTAATTTTTTTAATTAAAAAAAAATGTTAAGGGGCGGCAATTTTTTGTTTGGACTGGGGCGGCAACTTCGTTAAGTCCGGCCCTGGTAATATACCTATATTGCCTAC